CCAAGTGTGTTGCTCTGGACCGTAGATCCTGTGCCTAATCTATGGTGATCTGTTGGCTTATTAAGGGAAGCTAGATGGTCAGTAGATTCCTGATTCGTGTTCTCTGCCTTTGTGAGAGAGAAATATTCTGACTTTTTTCTTCGTGCTCTCTTCTCTTCTCTTCTCTGCCTTCTTCGATTCTTTGTGTAATTGATTAAAACTCTTGGTTTTAATCACAAAACTTGATAGTGTGCATCTATGTGATCCTTCGATTGAGTTTTACGTGGGTTTAGATAGGTGTTTGAGATTGGGTCCATTGAGTAGCTGCTTTCGTATGAATCTTGTTAGGGTTGGGCCTTTGTAGCTTGTTCTTTTGTACAGACGAGTACAATATTCTTTGTGAACTTTCTGAGCCCTATATTGAAGGAAAGAGCTGTATTCTTGTTGGTTCAACTGTGTTCTATATGAATCTCGTTTTTGCTTGTGTTTTGGTTTCTTGCCTTACAGTTCAAAATAATGATGATGAGTGATTTTGGAAGTAATGGAAAAGAAAAACAAGCGAAAACAAAACGAGAACAAAAAACAGTGAAAACCAAAAATGGCATAGGCGATTGCCCAGGCTGCCCAGCCTTGTTGCAATTACAAGGGAAAACTTGATGAACTAGGTAGGTGCCTGATTTTGTATCGAGCGGCCCCTTAGGGTTTTATCCTAATTTTGTATCATTGGGGACAACCATTCCGCTGAGATGCAGCTGCATTCTAGAGAAGATGTGGAGAATCTGATTGATCAACACAAAGTTGAACACAAATTGTTTGTTCTTGATGTGGGATTGAAGCATTGTGGGTCATGTGTTAAGGTTTTATCCAACGGTGATACTGTGGTTTTTGCAAGAATGAATGGGGATGAAAATCAGAGTCGCATGCAATTCTTGAGAGACGTGAACGTAATTGAAGTGCCAACATTTTTGTTCATAACAGATGGGGAAATCTGTGGAAGACATGTTGGATCTCGTAAAGGAGAGCTTATTGGTAAGATTCTTAGATACCAAGGAGTTCGTGTAACTTATTAATTATAAGTAACGAATGGAAAAAAAGTTGACCAATTAAGTTTAGGAATTGATCTTGGTTTTTTATGGATATCACCTTCACTAACCAAACCTGCTGACTTTTCGGGCACACTCATTTGATCAATTAGGATCCTTTGGGAGTGTGCTTAAAAGTTTCAATGTGTTGGTGAGCTTCACATATGATTACACAATTGGTAACTTAATCGTCATGGTATAACAAGCCCATCATCGTCTTTCACCATTTTCGTTACTGCTAAATTTAGCCATTAATATTCGAATTTAATTAGTACCGAATTGATTGAATAATTATCCAATCTTGATAAGAGTTTGTCTTGATATGGTCAAACTTCAATCATGGCAGCTGGCTGAACATTGACTGGAGAATTGTCAACTACGGTTGAAAATGCAAGCTATATCGATAATTTTCTTAATTTCGTCTTGCAATTTAAAATAATTATTAATAGAAATTAATTAATTAATTATTTTATATTTCTTACAACATTGTTCTGTACAGATGAAATCGTTTTTTTCATGTAGCATAATTCCTAAATAAATTGCAGCGAAAAAAATTATTAACAATAAAATTAAGGAAACTAGAACAACAAAATGATTAAGAAAATAATAATTAATTTTCTCAAACTAATAATTATTTAACCATGTTTAATTTGATAGGCTTAAGTGGGGCCATAGTTCTTCTTTTCCACAGATTGATTTCCTTCCTCGGCTCCAACGAAACCGTTGAACCACCGCCGGCCATCATTATTGGCGCCGAGAACGGAATTATGCACTCTTCGTCTGAGTCAAATTCTCCCTCTTCCGGTGCAACCTGCACTTTTGTCCAATCAAAATTAGCAAAAGTATCCCTACTGCTTGCAAAACCCTTCATCTGGCTCAAACTGGGCGCTCGATTAGGCAGAGGAGGCTTATTATAATCAACTGATGCATCAGATTTTCTTCCGGCGGCCGGCTTGAAAATATTCCGAATTCTTGATGGGTTTTTCTTCAGCTGCGGCGCCGGCGGAGGAGCCAAGGCGGGCTTGAATCCCTTAGGCAAAGAGAGGTGTTTCTTGCTTAGTTTTTTCTTGTGCTTGATTTGTCCCATGCATGAAACCTTTGGTGAAGTTGGTTCTTGTGTCTCGAAGTTTGAGTTCTTTGATCTCCGGCGAGCTTCCGCCGGAATCATCGAAACAAACGTGCCAGAAATCCTTAGTTTGAGCTTGTCTTTGCCAGGGCTGAAAGGAGGGTTTTGAAATGAAACTGCTGCTTGAGCTGCTTTTGGCAGAAACTTCAAAATCTTGTTTTTTGATTTAGTTAACAGAGGATTCTCCATTGAACTTTCTTTCTTTCTTTCTCACATAATACAAACAACATATATATACACAATATACACACACGTGTAGTGTGTGTATAACGCGTATGTATGATGGAAGAAGAGCGCACGAAATATCATATTAAGGTTGCGAAATTGACTTTTTCAAAAAATGTGGTGAGAATTGCACAATGGTCCTTAATATATTGCTCAAGTATCAAGTTCATCCCTAACGTTTGATTAGAATTGCACTATGAGTCCTTGATATATTGCTGAATTGTCCAACCAATACCAGTATCGATGATGAAAATCGTTCAGATCTCTGTTAAACCGTCATATGAACTTCATATATCCAATTATGACTCTTGTCTAGAAATTTGAAGTGAAGAAATTTACTTATAAGGGTAAGGACTACACAAATATCTTACGACAAATTGGATAACGTTTGTCGTTGATGATTGATGGTGCAATTCTAGCAATTTTTTTTACTACTAACTTTTTTTTCCCATTTTTAAAGGTTTGAAACCGACTTGCTTCTTTTTGAATGTGGGGGTCTAAAATACTACTCAAACAACTAGTTAGAGACTAGAAGTGTAATATATAAAAATTGGAGTTAATTTGTACCTGCCAATTTATATTTAATAATACTGCAAGGATTGATGCTTCATCCATTAATCTGCTTGACTAATTAATTATCCATTCAAAAGTCTAAATCTCCGGCCTGATATATTCTACGTATTGAAAAATACATGCACGAAAATATAATTAATAAAATTAAGCTATTATTTCTTGGTACAAGATTACGTGCTATGAGAATTAATGAATTTTGCACGAGGTTTGATAAGATAAAGATTAGAAAAATCAAAGTTTCACACAGCCTCGTGTAGGAGTCATTTTCGAAAATCAATTTTATTCACACTTATTTTCCTCTTGAAAAGAAAGGAATAGAGATCATAAGTTATCCAATATCCAGCAAGGAACTTATTGTTAGAAAATTGGTGCAGGCTCTTATACCAATTTATTAAGAATCGGGCCAAATAATAAAGAAGAAAAAATAAGAGCGGTATGAAAAATAATAGATCACACAAGAACGCAAGATTTATATGGAAGAGGACGAGAATTTCATATACCAAAATTACTTAGGCTGAGCTAGTGGCTGGTTCTTCAATATCAAATTCAGCATGACTCATCCCTTTGATCGAGCGTTTTTTGAGAATCGATCAATTATCACTCAATCACAGCCGTCTCGGATTGAAAGTGAAAGTCGCCAAAATTTGGTGACCACGAGCCTAGCGGCATGAATGAATAAGAAATTGGCAGCAGAGTGAACCAATGATTCTTATCCAACCGAGTTCTAGCTAGCAACAACCATATATTCATAGTTTTTCTCATTTTTTTCCGTAAATTTTATCCAAAAATCATTTTTCAAAAGATCTCTTCACACAAGCATGTAAAGTTTGAAATTTTTAGCTTGCTCTACGAGACTAAACAATGCTATGAATAAGAATTTTGCTTCTATTCTTGATTTATTACAGTTCAGACACTTTAGTTAGGTTCAATATTGTGTTTTAAAGATACATATAAGTCGTAGATTTTGAAATATATGAAAATACTAAATAGCCATTTGATTTATCTTAATTTTTGTTAATGTATAATTCATAAACGAAAAATTAAAATAAGAAGATTTACTTAAGGAGCCTCTCTTTTTTTTTTTTTTTTTTTTGGGAAAACGGAATTTTTTGTTTGTAATGAAATCGATTATGTAGTTCAACAATAAGTGAACTCTTTATATATTGTTGTAAGAACAAGAGAGTGGGGTCTATATTGGCATTTTCGTGAATGGATGCTACTCTCTGGCATTATGCCTTTGGAAACATTAACCTCTTTTTTTTTTAAATTATGGCCTAACACGTTAAAATATTGTTCATAATTAGTTAAGTAATAATTAAAATATCATAAAATGTTCAAACAGCCTATGCTATGCTAAGCACTCGAATTACACGACACACTACAATAGGTGGTAGGAGATAATGATTTGTCACAAAACTAATTACACCACATATTGTAGTATGTCATGATCAGGGGCGGAACTAAGAATTTACGTTGGGGGAGGCAAAAAATTTCAAAAGTTTATGTAAGAATAAAATTCATACTCTACAAAAATAATAATAATAATAATACAACATTAAATACTAAAGTTGTGCCCGACATGGTTTTACAGTGTAAAAATTATTTATAACACAATCTATACTTACATTCATAATATTTTATAGTTCGATATAGAGTGTTATACCATCAACAAAAAAATACCATCCATTTTGGAGCAATCAAAACTGAAATTGGAGCGAAAACAACGAATGCGACAAATTAGAACAAAGAGAAAATTGCTTGCAAAGTGTGAAATTTAGAAATGCTAAAATAAATTCAGGGATTTTTTTCAATTTCACACTGTAATGTAATGGACAGGCGAAAAAGAGAGGAAACGAATGGATTTTCAGTTGGGCTATAAAAATTAAAACAAACAATATATGTGAGAGATTGGGCAATTAGATTGTGGTGGGCTAATGGACTAAGAATAAAACAAGAGAAAATTACATTAAACCCTAGTTTTTAAGTTAACATTTCAAAAATAAGGGGAGAAGGTTTAAATTTCAAAATTCAGGTGATAAATATGATTATTAATTGCAAATAATAAAATTTTAAATTAAACCTTAATTCAGATAATAACCCCCACCCCACCGATTAATCCCAACCCCAGCACTATCTTCTCTCTCTCTCTCTGCTCTCTCTCTCTCTCTCTCTATGTCGATCTCTCTCTCTCTACCAAAGGAAACGCCGGAAAAGAGCTACCTCACCGGCGTGACTGCCATACACACCACAACGACACGAGTGACGACGCCGGCGGCTTAATCTCGTGTATC